ATTTGTGGCATCAGTACATTGCCCTTATGCTTAGTTCTGGATACTTTGATGTTTGATACAGGCTCAGATGTTTCTGAAATTTATAGAAGTTCAGTAAGTACAATCAATGAATTATTATCTACGATTTTGCAGGGAATAAGTAGGTAATGTAGGTAACTTAACCTCCTTGGCGAACCCCGATATTGAAGACGTGTGAGGAGGGCTGGATGTTTTTAGCACTACCCTTCTGAATAGAAGAGAGTCTGGGTGATCAGTGATCTAGTCCGCGACAAGCTCGAAATTCATGGCGCGTACATGCATAAGCTCATTTTCACCTTAAAAAAGGTAATTTTATCGCGTCCTTGGGATGAAGGCGTCCGTCGCAGGGTTGTGACGACCATAAAAAGGGTAATTGAAATGTAATTCGAGGCAAGTTTCAGAACTTTCAATGACTAGTTACAATGTTTGAAAACTTTAGTTATCAGTCTAGGCTTTTGTTTAATTTATAAAAATTGTCAGGCCTTACAATGCCATTAATTATTGATAAACATACTTTGACGTGAAGATAACCGCATTCTTCAATCACGCCACTTGATAAAATAATGACGCCAATGTTATGTCTTCGGGTGATACGCAGAAATAGGCGCTTGGCTCTTACTTGCTCAAAAATATATTGGATTTTGACATTTGTCATAGTTTGCGCTTTTTGAAAGAAAGAAAAGAGTATAAATAAATCAGTGATGCTACGACCTTTTTAGTCTGGGCCTCACATTTCTGTATCTGTTTAATGATCACTTGTCAATCTAATAGGCAAGTAGCCAGTAGGTGATCAGCCGCCGCTGATCCTCGCCGTCGGCTTTTTGTGTCTAAAGAAAGCTGGTTCCCTCTAGATGTTTTTCTTCACCGTTTGAGCGATGTTAAATGCGCATATAGAAAGTCCATTGGTGCACAGCCGGGGATCGAGCCTACGACCTCATGCCGCTAGACCAAGGATAAAAAAAATTCCACTCGTATCACCTCGACATCCGTCGTACCACAACTGAGCGTGAAAAGCAGTTTTTGCCGCGCACCATCACTGTGGAACCAGCTGCCTGAAGTACATATTTCCGAACCAATCCAACTTAGGGTCCTTCAAGTAAAGACCGTACTAATTCTTAAAACGCCGGCATCGCACTCGCGAGCTCTCTGGCATTGAGAGTGTCCATGGGCGGCGGTGTCACTTAACATCAGGTGGGCCTCCTGCCCGTTAACCCACCACTATAAAAAAATGTTCAAAGTGACTATAGAATTACAGATTCTACAAAAGTTATGATACCTGTTGTATTGATTATATCGATATCTTCTCACCTATCTTAATTCTTATCTCATCCCACCTATCACACAGAATTCCTAAAATTATTTTCGATTAGCATATTAAGTTATAATAATACAAAAAAGAACCGCTAGAATCTTATTTATTTTGTGATTTATTATTTATTTTAGAATCAAGCTAAGTAGTAAAAGAACCTGATAGTGAACAAAATCTTTCGATGCAAATGTTACGTAACTTGAATATACTGTTTACTAAAATAATAGCAACAATAAAAATTCCTCCGCGTTTGATTGGTATCGTTGTGTGTGTAACTGTCTATGTGTGCGATTAGGGATTCCGTGACACGGGTCACCGTTTCCAAGAAACGCCTGACGTCCCGGTGACAGGACTGGTTTTGCCGGCGCAACATTGTAGTCTATACCCGTCCTTGTCTAACACATGGCGGATCATCTTTCGCTGCATTGGCGCCCTCTATCTTCTCAACTCAACTCCGGTAGCTTACGAATTTCCATTGAAGATTTGGCGACGTTATGTAAATGCTTGGGCAATTTGAAATAAAATCGCTGGTTAATATCGCGTTGTTACTTTCTTTTTGTTTAAACGACCATTACGTGTTAAAATTCCTTTGAATTGGCTCATTAATACTTTCTCGGGCGAACGGTAGCTCGCAGTTTAACCTTACACGGCGTATCATTACACTGTGAGTGATTACAAAATTGCCAATAATCGAAATGTTAACGTCACGCAAACGAAATGTCAAATTTAAGAGCTCTTGTGTGAACTGGACACGAATTCCAACATTCCAATAACGTAAATATTTTTATAAATAATTATTAAGGTAAAACCTTAATTTACGTTTAAATGTCAATTTGACATGTCAAGATTTTTTTATGGCAATGAGGAAGTAAATATAACCATAAAGGCTGTAATGGCAACATTTTTTTTTGTAATATTCTATTTTCTAATTTTAAACCATTTTTAATTTGCAAGGAGGTTTAATAAGCACTAATCGAAATAGATTCTTAATTTAAAAATCCTGTTTCTCGAATGCAAATATGAAGTTTTTGCAGCAAGTAGCCGGCGCCTTCGAACCACGCCCCTGCTTCTGGCCTGACTTATCAATAATTACTCTAGCCATTATCTCAAGCAAAACTAGTTCGTGTCTGAGTCCGCCCCACAACACTGGAATGCTATTTTAGTTTATAGAAAACGCTCTCGATTTCCTGTCCATATAAGATAGGACTTCATTCCAGGATTTAATCTCTTGTAATAAAACATTTTTAATGTCAATTATTTAAACTATACATATATACTATTTCTGTAGGCATTATTATTAATAAATAATAAATCAGTAATAGAGCAGTGTTGGCCTAGTGGCTTCAGCGTGCGACTCTCATCCCTGAGGTCGTAGGTTCGATCCCCGGCTGTGCACCAATGGACTTTCTTTCTATGTGCGAATTTAACATTCGCTCGAACGGTGAAGGAAAATATCGTGAGGAAACCGACATGTCTTAGACCCAAAAAGTCGACGGCGTGTGTCAGGCACAGGAGGCTGATCACCTACTTGCGTATTAAATTGAAAAATGATCATGAAACAGAGTCAGAAATCTGAGGCCCAGACCTAAAGAGGTTGTAGTGCCACTGATTATTATTATTATTAAAAAAGTCTTACGATTACAGCCCTGCGATTCTGTTACTCACTTTTCGAACTCACACAGCGGTTATCAGAATGCCTTCTGATAAACAATAAACTACAAGCTCCCACCTTTTCAGAATGCCAAATCATAAAATGACTGCTTCAGGACTGATTTGAGAGCGACCGCCGATGCGAAAACCGCTGTGTGAGTTCGAAAAGTGAGTTACAGAATCGCAGGGCTGTAATCGTAAGACTTCGCTTACGACTACAAATCAAACCACGAAAACGTCTTAATTTTTCGTGTTAATATACCCTATGATAACGTGCCTTTCTATTGATCAAATTTCACACTTTATTAGTTTACTTTCAATTGACTATAATGCCTGTACCACACCAAGTAGGTACATTGGAATACTAATTTAAATTGTAAGCCAATAAACGTTTTGTTACAGTATTTAATTGAAACTGATCTTTCTATAGCTGCAATTGGTGAAAGAAATTGAAACTGTGAATTTGGAGCCAATTTTTTTGCATATTTGAAACGGGAGTAGAAAACTGTGACCCTGGGTATGGGTTTAGTTACTAATTCCCAAGTAGCAGGCATACTCTCATTTAGACAACACATAAATTATCTTGTCGAAAGTAATAATGCGTTCTTGTTTGTTTTTAATGATATACAATATGCTTGGGATTCGTGGGAACTCGCATTATGGGAAGCCATTTTAAAGAATTATTGGGTACATACATAATTACTAGTTAAAAAACTACGATCTCTGGTATGAGTTTGATAAGTCCACTTTTATTGTAATTTTCTTCGAATAGTATCTTGTAAATGACGGAGGGTTTCTTGTAATTTGAGAGCTTTTGACGTTCATAACAGTACAGTACTCATGTAACCTTTTTGAAGTTATACATCTTTTGGCGCGTTAGGGAAAAATGATGAGATCATGAGAGTAAATTTTTACGGTGCGCGCACACCGTCTCAAAAAACCGACAGTCTGAAGTTAGCTATAGTCAACAATTTAGTTTTTGAAGTTATACTCCTTTAGGCGCGTTATGAAAAATTGATGAGAGTGAAATTTTACGATGCGCGCGCACCGTGACACAAAATTATCAGTATGAAGTTGCCCACTAACGAATTCTTTTTTCTATTGTTAGTGTCGTTTTTTCTACAAACGTAGAATAATATTTTTGAAAAGATTTTTATCTTGTTACGCCAAAGAAGTATAACTTCTAACGCGTGTACATAAGTACACTTTGCAATTTGCAATTGCTTTGTTTTGTTCCATTCTTTTGCCATAATTGTATATCTTTTTTAGTTTTGTACTTCTTGCGCTCACTTTAATTTTTTTTAATTTTTTTATGTTACAGAATGATAATACAATCATAACATGTTACATTAGATAACCGCTGTGATTTGTATAAATGTAACTATAGCAGTTTTGATTAGGAACGCGACAAATGCATATCAAAGTAGTTTTTCAATTTACGTTGATATAAATTTTGTTGGTTAACGTTAGCGGTTAGACTATCTAATAACTGGCCGGGTAGTCCATTTATTAGTCGCGGTAGCAAATTACTCAACGTTCTTTCGCCATATACGTTGTTTGCTCTCGATGTACAGAGCCGAATTTTAGTTATCGTTCTGGTCTGTACGTCTTGCTAAATTCGTTTTTGATGTCATCTTCAAAAATGTAACTACCTATGTGGAACCAGCTGCCCTCTGAAGTATTTCCGAACCAATTCGACTTAGGAACCCTAAGGAAAGATCGTACCAATTTTTAAAAGGCCGGGTCACTTGCGAGCCCTCTGGCAATGAGAGTGTCTATGGGCGGTATCACTTAACATCACGTGAGCCTCCTGCCCGCTTGCCTTTTCATATAAAAAAAAAATTGATAGAAAAGTCACATTTTGTGTCAAATTACAAATTTCATAAAATATTTTTAAACATTTAAAAGCTAATAAAAATATTTTAGCTGTATATTTGAATTCCACGAAATTATTTAAATATATTAAAAACAGGTTTTAGGTGACGCGATATTGATTAAAACTAAACAAGTATTTTTCTTACAGTCTTACGAAGCCCCAATCGTTTGCGGACTGCATTGGCAATGAACTGCCGCTTGGTTGGGAGGAGGCCTACGACCCACAAATCGGGCCATACTACATCAACCATGTCAATCGTAAGTATTCTGTGTCACACTTGTCTATGGAAGATTCTTCTCAGTCTGTGGAACTAAATTACAAAGTGAATTAAACGCCATAACGATTCATGAGAATTCAAAAATGGAATTTTCCAGGTATAGGATAACTGAAGTAGGTAAATTGCATCAGATTTAGTTTTAAACATTTTTAGTATTGTAAAATACACCTTAGTCCATAGTTATAAGCGCTACTATTCAGTAGGAATCAAAAATGGAACTTTCGAAGCAATATAATTTTAAAATATTCAAAAGCGAACGCCACGGTACTAAAATTTTAAAATGGATTTTTTTACACCTTAGTCCATAGTTATAAGCGCTACTATTCAGTAGGAATCAAAAATGGAACTTTCGAAGCAATATAATTTTAAAATATTCAAAAGCGAACGCCACGGTACTAAAATTTGAAAATGGATTTTTTTTGACAATAGTTATAGGCTAACGTCAGTTGGTTCGGATTTGTCTCAGCGCTCAGATAATTTAATTCTAAGATTTTACGTTTAAAGTAATAATGAAATAATCTTAAAGGTATTTTCGATAGACGAGTTTATACTCGATTACAGGCTGTTGTTGGGTAAAAGTACACATTTTAAACGATTTCTAAATGAATCATTCCACTTTCATTAATTCTCTTGGGAATTCCAACTGGTTTATTACAATAACACAATCTACACAGTATTTCGAATAATTAAAGTATTTATCGGACGAGCTGTGTAATTCGCCTGAAAACGGAGAAATTTATTAAAACTACAAACTTTTAAGGGTTGGGCCTTAGATTGCTGTATCTGTTTCATGATAATAGGCAAGTAGGTGATCAGCCTCCTGTGCACACGCTGTCGACTTTTTGGGTCTAAGACAAGCCGGTTTCATCATGCGCACATAAAAAGTCCATTGGTGCACGGGGAACGAACCTACGACCTCAGGGATGAGATACATACGCTGAAGCCACTAGGCCAACACTGCTGCCTACTAACTATCTATTGGTGAATTAATATTTAATGGCGGATATAACGAATCTTGTATCTCATGAGTAAATGTGTTTTATTTTATTAATTTACACTTCGTTGCATACATTCAGTACAATTGAAATAAGTTATATAAAAAGCATGGAAACTGTTTGTATTCAAGCGATGTTTTGCAGGATGACTTACAATTAATTATTATATACACATATAAATTACCAACATAGACTTTATGTCATTCATAATGACCATATTATTTTAATATTTCATAGTTTTTAGAGTACTTTGGCATATATACTGTCGACAACAAACGCATTGACAAACAAATATGGTGGTACTCTAATATTTAACGCCGACCAATCAGGGACAGCCTTCGGACAGATGACAATTTTAAGATTGTAATTTGACGGTTTCACTTCGATAGATCAACAATCTACCGAATAATACTACGTTAAATTGTAAGCAGTACATTAAAGTTCACAATCTTTCGACAGTTCACAATCTCGCGAGATAGATTACAACCTAACGGTATTTACAATTTTACGGTGACATATACAACTATTACCAAAAATATTCGATGAATCACAAAACTGGTTTTCTGTTTCGTTAATTAAAATTTCACAACACCTCAATATAACGTTCATATTAAATTGTCGATTAGGCTTACGGGTCCTTAAATATTACAATTAAATGAAAATTTAGCTTTAATTCTTTTCTGGTGTGCCTTTATAAATTTTTCCTACAATAAAGTTCACAAAAGGAGTGCTTTACATGCCTATCTACATACAATCTAGCCTATACAATTATGGCCAATAAGTAATATTATTAATTAAAAAGTAAAAAAAAATCAATATTTAATTTTTCTTTTTTCAATTTTAAATTTATTCAATTTAATCATATAGGTAATATATATACACTTATGACTCGTCAGTAAAGAAATATATATTAATGCTTCTAATTTTACATTTACTGCCAGTTCTCAAATTAAGGGCGTAGAACGGAAGAGAAGAACTGGCAATAAACTCTCCGCCACTTTTTTTAATCGCCATTTTTTTACACAACGTTTGTAAGGAACTGCAACCATTACACCATGTTCCACATGACATATCAAGTAATTAATAATAATAACATAAATTTAAAAAATACAAAGACTTGTCCTCTATCAACAGACTCCGTTGATAGAAACAGGGATTGTCACTCCCCTTCTGCTTAGCTTCTCGGACAGATCTGCCTGATCGCGTGCCTTATATGTCCTTATACGTCCTTTGTATATAACAAAACCAATACCAATAAAGATTTACTAAGATTGTACTTGGTAAACGTCAATTTTTTTTAAATATTTTAGAAATAGTTATTACTATAATACTTCAGGATTATTATACTAATGGTGAAAGATTTTTGTCCAGTAGTTTTGAGTTTATTCGTTACAGACTAATCCTTCGTTAGAATATTATGCATACATTAATGAATTTATTATGTATAAATTAATTATAATTTATTCGATGACACACAAGATAAGAGGTAACTAATACGTCTGGATTTTATGAGTTTTTATATAAAAACGCTCGTAAATTAAAGCTTTCTTAATTAGATCATATTTTTTAAATCCTAAAACGGGTAAATTTAATTTATGGGTTTATATATGTATCTATATATATGTTTATTTATTGGGAAAACTTTGTTATGAAACTTTAAACTTAGTACCTACATATAATTTAATTTTCGAAATTTTCTATAGTGAACATTTTAACGTAAATTTAGTATAATCTAGACAACTTTTTTTACATCCGAGGTAGAATGCTCTTACCCCTGATAGTTGCAAGGGTATGTGGGATCCAAAACCAGAATCTCTGCTATTCAAACTCAAACGCTAAATAACTTTATTTATACTAGCAGACCAGCCAAGCGTTGCTGTAGCTAAGGTTTTTGTTATATTACATAGTAGTAAACTATTCAAGGGAAACGGTAGGAGAACACCAGTCATGGGGACCACCATGCTTTTTTGGTGGTTATGCCATTAAATTGTAGCTTATGTGAAACGTTGGTACTTTCAACACAGCGCCATCTGTTAGAATTGTGACTGTCAAATAATAAACAAATATTTTGCAATAAAATAATATTGCGGGTATAAATTGAGATGTAAGCTATCCTATCCTTTAAGTTGGATCAAACTACACACGGTATGCAAATTTGATTGATATCGGTTCGGTAGTTTAGGAGTCCATAGCGGACAAAGAACGTGACACGTAATTTATATATATTAAGATAGGTAAACAGTACATTTATGAACGTCAACAACTCAACAGAAACGATGTCAAATTGATTCTAAATTCACATTTACTACCAGTTGGCAAGTGAACCGTAGAGCGGGCAACAAGAACTGGCAAGAAACTCGCCGCCACCCTTTTTAATCGCCAAATTTTGAGTCATACAAATTGTTCGTAAGGCAGAGCAGGTTCAGATTTTTGAACTTGCTATAAGATGCGTATTCCAAATACAAAATTCTATAGATTACTTCCAAACGATATCGTGTTAAGACGTTTAATTCACTATAACGGGTCTCTAGTGATTAGACAAAAGCCCTTAATTACTGGGAACAGTTAGGTTTATTTATTACAGTTAAAATCGAGTAAGCCAATGTAAATTCCACACTATTATCATAAGTAACGATAATGGTGAATTGAATGGGCATTCCAAATTCAAATTTTGCTTAACACTAACGTAGCTCGCACCTAACTTCATGCTTATTCGAGCGCTGTAGGCAAATGACGTTAGCCGTCAATCTAAAATATATTATTATTATATATATTAAAGGAGTTTTTAAGCTGAAATGATTTTCCAATTGTCTATACACTTCAAAACAGACAATTTCGGTATATAACGAACTGAAAGCCGATAAAAAATCTTTTTTTTTGTATAATATATAGTCAATTTGGTATCTTCTTTTTTGATAAACAAAAAAAAATAACATAATATAGGTATTTGAGGGTTCAATCAAACATCAGGTTTTATATGATCTTTAAAAGCTGAGTGTGCTCAGCAAGGCAAGACGGCACTTCAGAGTGTTCATAGAAGTTCGGATTAATACCTGCAGCTGAGTTTCATCATCGGAGTCGATATAATACGAAATTCCACCCGTATCACATCCTCCGTGGTTCCATAACTGAGCGTTTTAAGGCAGTGTTTCCGCGCACCACCACTGGAACCGCTCACTGAAGTATTTCCGAACCGATTCGACTTAGGGTCCTTCAAGCGTACCGATTCTTAAAAGGCTTACAAGCGAGCCCTCAGGCATTGAGATTTGAGAGTGTCCTTTGGCATAACAGAAGGTGAGCTTCCTATCTGCCTGTGATAAAAAAAATTCTATCGAAATTTTATATTTTTAACTTTACGCATAATTTGCATGCAACTTATTAAAAGCCTTAAAGCTATGATGAAATTTAGTCAAGGTATAATGTTAAAATGCAGTTTTAAAGATGCCAGATCATTATTCATAGTTAATGCACGAAGTCGTTACGATAATTATTATTTAGCTCACCCTAGCTCGTTATTTTGCCCAAGGCACATTTTTCGCTACATATTATTACCCAGATAGGCGTAGGCTTTATATAAGAGGAAATAATGTTTTGTAAGGATACACTATGATTATTATTTATCTATAATCATATTATAAAGATTTTATTATTGTAGCGAATAGCGAATAAAAAAACCTACACATTTCTTAAGAATACTACATTATCTGAGTAACAGGTTAGGGAGAGTTCAAGTATTAGAAACGCAATTTTTGGAGATTATTGACCCCCCCATGTAACTCGCCGTAACGTTTTTAGTACCCAAGTATAGTAAAACTCTGACTCTTTAGTTACTATTATGTGGTGTGATCAAAACATATTAACAATAACGCGTAATTTAATCCCCGCCCCGCATCGTAACGTTTTACAAAAGGACCCCCCTCCCTAAATTAAAAAAAAAGTTAAACCATGCGACCGGTGATGGCAGCTCCTGCAGCATGTTTCCCCT